CATTGACCACTACAGTACTTTTTTGTAAGAGTGAATCTCATATAATTTTTCTGTCTGAGCGCAGAATGTAAATGACCACAAGTATTTAAGGGTGGGAGCTCAGAACCCTGCACCATTTATGTCAAGAGCTGCCTCTAGATACTGTAGCTGGCACTGGTCAAGCAACCTGACAGTCCTACCACGCCCCTCTTGGTGGCCAGTCAGTGGGCAGACACCCCCTAGTTACACGTTTCCTCCACGGTGCGCTGAGGTGGAGGCCTCCTGTACGATCTCGTGTCCCCACGTGGGACCTGGCTGTGGTGCTAGAGGCTATTGAGGAGATCTCGGATCGCCACCTTACTATCAAAACTACCTTCCTCTGGCGATATCTTCTCTCAAGATGGGGATCTGCAGGCCCTTTCAGTGGCCCCTTCTTATCTTGACTTTGCGCCCGATCTAGCCAAAGCGTTTCTGTACCTTTGAGCGGGGTATGTTCCTAAGGTCCCCTCCTCTACACCACGGCCTGTCGTGCTCCAGGCCCTCAGTCCTCGTCCCTTAGGGGATCCAGACCAGCAGAAGCTTAACTGCATGTGTCCAGTGCGAGCACATCTAAGGCCTTCCTGGCAGGTGTCTCCATGCAGGACATCTGTGACGCCGCGGGATGTCCATGCCCCTGACCTTCGTCAGGTTCTATGACCTAGACATGCGAGCCACTCCTGGCTCCTCTGTTCTCGCGCCTTAGCTGTGCAGTCTTCCACACTAGGCAAAGACTTAGAAGTCTGGCGGCGTGGGCATTCTCGTTCCCCTAGCGTGTCTGACGCAGCTCGAGTTCCTGAAGAGGAACGTCTCAGGTTACGTATGTAACCCTAGTTCCTCGAGGGAACGAGACGCTGCGTCTCGGTGCCATACTTCTGGCGTCCCTGCCAGCGCTTGCTTCATTCCTAGAAGCTGACGCTGGTCTCACCGCACGTGCTTTTATAGCTCCTGGTCATTACGTCACCCGCCCGTGACGTCTCGCCCATCTATTGGTCTGATTACACATGAGGTTCAGAGCCCGTCACACTGAAGGGCGTTCCCCTAGCGTTTCCGACGCAGCGTCTCGTTCCCTCAAGGAACTAGCGTTACATACGTAACCTGAGATGTTCTTTTTAGTGAATCAAAACCAGACAGTTTGACCAGTTTACTACAGTTGCTAAACAATTGATTCCAGTTCTTATGATCCAATTATTTTTAGTGAAAATCAAAAACACATAGTTAATGTCAGTTGTTGGATTGCTTTTACAAGAGTACATTGGAGAGCCATATAAATACTATGGTGCCTACATATGGTGATAGCTCGGAACAATCATATATGTAATGGTGAAATAACTAACATGGCATTGACCACTACAGTACTTTTTTGTAAGAGTGAATCTCATATAATTTTTCTGTCTGAGCGCAGAATGTAAATGACCACAAGTATTTAAGGGTGGGAGCTCAGAACCCTGCACCATTTATGTCAAGAGCTGCCTCTAGATACTGTAGCTGGCACTGGTCAAGCAACCTGACAGTGCCGTACAATCAACATCAGCTGTCAAATTCAATGAAGCTCAGAATCTGCACTTTAAATCCTGTCACATGTCATGAACTCCTAAACTGCTTTCAGAGCGCATCTGCAGTCTGCAGCCAACTGTGCCTTCCACAGCGGAGGCAGAGGCATTTTTGACAAATGAGTAAACTTGATATGCATTCCTCTAGCATCTCAATTGACAAAGAATAGGCTGCACTCTGTGGTCTGTGGGAGTTTTCAGGGCCTGTGGATGATGTAAAATGTTACAGAAATGGAGAGGAGGGTACTGTTCCGCAGACATTCATTTCCTTTGTTATGCCCTTAAGAAAACCATGCAGAGGAAGCCGTGGAAACACAGCTCCGGTAAATATAAGATCAACAACAAAACATGACACTCTCTGAGGAGGCAGGGTGGAAAATGTGGGATTTCAGTGTTAGCCGGTTATTTTGTCAGGTATGATATCATTCCTTAAATGGATGTCAATATTAAGCGCCACAGATAAAACATACAGACAACTGGGAAGGAAAAACAGCAGGGTGACAGGTAAACAAGAGATTTGGTTAGGCTTAGCATGGAACTAGCTGTACTTGTTTATTCATTCATACTCTGTAACCTACACGGTATGACATTGTGTGCATATATATGTGGGTGTACATACGTTTATTCAGCAAAAATGAATTCAATTGATGAATAAATGCTTGTAAGATTTTTTTTTTTTTTATGTTTTATTTATAAAAAAAAAAGTGACATTATGGCGTAACGCCTGTTGAAAATTCAACTTACCATCACAGGAGTAAGTTATATATTAAAGTATATTTAATTTGAAAATAGTTATTTTAAATATAAAAATATTTAACAATATTGCTGTTTTTACTGTAATTTGGATCAAATAAATGCAGCACTGGTTAGCATGAGAGGCTTGTGATTAATATGATTCAATTTCATATTAAGTACAGCCCTAGTTCTCTCTCTATGTATATGTTAGGCTCAGTATAGGAAACCAGCTATCACTGCAACAACATAAGCTGTTCATGCTTCAGAAAATCATTGGAATGATTTCCTTGTGAAGAATGCAGTTTTTATGAAGACTGTTATACGGATTAGTGTCTGGTTTTATGTGTGAGGTAAACAGCCCGGAGTCCTATTGGGATCAGAACAATTGAGCTGCAGTAAGCAATCATAAATGACAAGTGATCTAATGAGATGCTGCAGTTGGACGGGGTGCGGAGGAGGGCATGTGTGCGACACTTCAGAAAAGAGACAGTAGTTCATAAATTAATGATAAAGCGTGCATGTATGCGCACATATTATGATAAATGTTGATGCTATCGCACTAAAACTGACATTATCATACAGACTTCATGCAGTCTCCATGTTTCAAATGTTAGTTTACATTATCTAAAGATTTTTTATGTAATATTAATATGTATACATTTATGTGATAATAAATAGTGACATAAGAAAAAGAGTTAATGTGAAAAAAGTGTGTAAATCATTAATCAATGACAGTGTTGGGCGAGTTACTTCAAAAATGTAGAGTGCTACTGTCTTCAATGCTGCATATATAAACAGCTTGGCAACATATTCTTCATAATAACATCGACTGAAGAATATTTAAAATCCAACAGAGAAAAAAATAAACCACTCAAGATAAATAGAGGATACTCATTTGAGGGGAAACAGAGACATGAAATATCCAAACTAATGTTTATGGCATTATGAGGACATGGCCCCAAATCCTTTGCATTTTTCTGTTGGATTAGTTTTGGATTAGCTACAGCATTCATTTTGTGACAAAGACCTGGCAATGATGTGTAAAATCAGAAATTGTATGACAACTGCTGTCAAAACACAGCAAAACACAACAAAACACACCAAGCTTCCAAAAGTGGTGGGGCAAGATTTGATAGGAAAAAAAAAGCTATCTGTGCTGATGAAATATTTGCAAGATATTTCAGGTATATCAGAGCATCTTTCAGGCTTTAAACATTGACAACATTTTGTGAATGCAGGAAATATATGCTTTTATTTTTAATGGCATTTTTACAGCTATCAGCTATAAAGCACTTCTTTAGAACACAGTTATGGAATTCATAGCCAAGTTACCCTGTAAACAGAATTAATTCTGCAGAATTAGAAAAAATCTACTAAAAAACTAGGCTACTAATAAAAAATGAATGCACTACCAAAGCATTACTAACTGAAGCTACTCTAGTTATATAGTGTCTATAAGTACACATAAAAAATAATAAAGATCACTTTCAGTACTAAAGAGCCTTAGGTTATGATATAATATCCTGTTACACTCACAAAGATTTTCATTAGTGCCAATGTTTCAAGCTTTGTATTAGGCACAATTCAGTGAGCTTTGTTGAAATTTGTGAAGGGCATCAAATTGTAATTCAACAAGGTAACAGCAAACACTTTTTTTCACATCATTTGAAACCATGAATATGTTGTTGTGACATTTTACAACACTTGCTGATTTTGTGAGCTGTCAGGTTTGTAAATGAGTGGTTCTTTTGAACAGGCTCTTTGCAACGGATTGATTGAAACAAACATGTTGAAGACAGTGTTGAAGTGATTAGTGAGCTGAAATTACCCTAGTCAAACTCATTCGCTAAATCAAACATTATCACGGTCACTCATGTTTCACCAGTGAAAAATTAATACAAAATTAATAGACTAGCGAGAGAGAAAGATATATATGGCGGCGACATAAAGTGTGTGTGTGTGTGTGTGTGTCTAAATTATTACAATACTGCATATATATATATATATATATATATATATACAGTATATACACACACACACACACACACACACACACTGTATTCACTGTATTTTGTTGATTTATTTATCTTTTTTGATGGTCATTAAATGTTTAATTGTTGATGCTTCCTAATGCTTAATGTATTTATCCACCAATTTACAAGTGCTTTGTCTCATTAATTAATTGATTATTGATTTGTCAAGACACACTAATGGAAAGGATCCCCATTAGGACCATCTATTTTGTTTTACATATACAGCCACTCAATGAAAATGAAAAAAAAGTTCTGGAGCATCACCCCAGTATCCCAAGTCTCAGCTGAAATGCCAGGTCAGACACACATTATTTTAGAATCATAAAAGTCTCCTTATATTTAACACTAGGGTCTGTTAACAAAACTACGCCACTGCACACGGCTCAATGCTCTCTAGATTTGAAATTAATAATGCATTGGGACCTAACACTGGAGTCAGTTTACTATTTCTATGGCGCTCTGCAAAGTGTGCATTTTTGGAGAGCTCTGACATGCTGAAATGGGCTTTGGTGACATTTAGATATTGACTCAGGCTTATTGCACAGGCGTGCTGGTTTGTTTTAGACAACGGCATATGCTCAGCACTCTACCGCTTCTGACGAGAAACAAACAGGTGCATGATTTCAGCGATAATAAGGCATTAAAATATCTCCTTGTTTCCTAGGTAACGGAGACCAGAACGGGGCCTCTTGGATGCAGTAACTACGACAGCCTGGATTCCGTCAGCTCCGTCTTAGTGCACAGCCCAGAAAATAAAATCCACCTGAAAGGTATGACAGCTGATGTGGTCTTCAGAAAACAACACTGCATCTATGTTTGGTAGTATTTGTATCAACTGCCCTGGTGATATACAGTGTGAGGGTTTGTTGTTGTTGTTGTTGTTGTTGTTTTTAGGGTGAGCAGATAGATTTTACTGTGACTGTTTCAAGTCCCCTAAATGTTCTTGCACTAGCAGAACGATGAAGCAAATTACTTGCAGGCACACAAAGTATCAGTAAATTCATGATTAATGGTCATGGATCCAATTCAGAATTAAATGAATAAATAAAATGAAAATTTTAAAATGTTGAATAAATAAATAAATAAATGTGACAAACAAACAGAGTCACATGAACTTATTAATGTTAATAATAATAATAAATTAAACATAATAATTCTAATAAACAAAGAAAATATAAAAGATGATCTTTTAGGCAGGTTCTGTGCTTTCCTTTATTTGTAACATTGGTGTCACTAACACGCTCCAAAGTTTCAGAGGATTGTTCATCACTTAGGAGAAAGAAAACTACATCAACAAGCACAATTTTGATTTTGTTTTGTTTTTGGAGCCATTTTGGTGAAATAACTAGTACTAATTTGTTTTAAACTGACAGAAATTCTCATCTTAAAGTCTATACAATATACACAAACTGTTTACAGACACAACTATGCCAATTGTTTTTTTTTTACACTAGTCCATTATCACGACACAATCTATTTCAGATAACCTTAATGATATCTGATGACAATACATAAAAACAAAGCAAACCATGTAACACTTTACAATAAGGTCGCATTAGTTAACGTTTGTTAATTCATTAACACTAACAATTATCATGACATATGTTACAGTATATTTGATCTTTGTTAACAATAGTTAACAAAAATGCAGTTCACTGTTAGTCCATAATCCGTGTATCATTAGATCATTCATTTTTTGGTTTAATATTCAAAGGAGAAAAATTAGAAAACGGCAGTTTTTTTCTAAAAAACGAAAAACAAAAATTCAGCTTAAATTTTCGTTTTTCGTTCATGGGTGGAAAAATTAATAAACAGCTTGAATATTCGATTTCTACACGTGGGCGGGAATTAAACGCCTCTTTCTGCTGATTGGTCAGCCAAAGATCAAACCGTGCCAGTGTTGCCAACTTAGCAATTTTGTTGCTAAATTTAGCAACGTTTCACACTACCCTAGCAACTTTTTCTTCCAAAAGCACCTAGCAACAAATTTTGCTGTTTTAAAAATTTATTTGGCAACTTTTAGCAACTTTTGATAAGTGACTCAAACGATAAAAAGGCACACATTTTCCATCTAAATCAAACAAAATAAGGAAACCAAAGATGCCTAGCATTACACAATTCACATGAATTAAGTTATTGCTATTTGCAATTGTTTAATTTAATAATAATAATTGAATATTTGAATAATTGTTCATTTATGATACACCTTGTTAGTAGCTTGTACCTGTGATTGTTGTTTAGTTAGTACACTGTAAAAAAATATCTAGAAAAATGGAAAAGGTACTAGTTATTTTCCAGGACATTATCCGTTATCCATTATTCATTATCCATTGTAACCCTGTAACCCGAAAACACAAAATGCTATGCGTAATTTAAAATGCAGGTAAAAAAACCCCCTGAAAAATCAATATGGAAAATTCCTTCATATTAACATAGATTGTGCCCTATTTTTATACTAACTGCTAATACACTGCTTAAAACTATAATTGTTCAGAATGTGTAGTTTTACTAGTTTACTAGCTAATAAAAAAAACTTAAATTGTAATTGTTAAAAAATGTGTAAATGTTCAATAATTCAATGTTGTATTTAAAAATACAGTTATTTATATTTTAATATTATATTACATTATTTTATTTTATGAACAAATCTAAATTAACACATAAAATATTTGTTTCCTGAGATTTTATGTAATTTTGCATCATCATTATGTAATAATGTCATTGTGCAATGACATCACAATGTAATTTATCAACTTTTAGCAACAATTTGACTTTCCTTTAGCAACTTCCCCCGAAAATTAGTTCAACACTGAACCGTGCCTTCATCAGTTCTTCCACAGTATCACGCAGCAGAATAATAGTCCTCCGCTGCTGCAGTTGAATGGATTCTTAATGCATTTATTGCAACTACTTTTAATCTTTTTTCATCAATCAAACAGGCTAATGAATAGCTGGACAGAACTCATACTGGGGCAGAGTCTAGACAGGGCTTTCTTCTGTGTAGATATAAATT